CAAAAGTCAGAAAGTGAGAAGAGTTAGAAATATGACAGACAAAAAAAAAAATCTCTTTAGCGACTTAAATTAGGATATCATTATCTTTTATTTCCTTTTATATTTTCTTTCATTGCCCTAACTTGCTAAAGGAAGTTAGCTTTGCTCGATTTGCAAAATATCCAAATTTATAACTTTAATTAACTCGGCCAAGTTTCGTTTACAAACTCAAACTTGAGACATATTCTAACATGAAAAGTGAATTTCTAAGTCTCCTATGCTCAAATCCTTTGAACAGGTTTAAGAAACATATGTCTCCATGTTTCTATTCAAAGTCTCAACATAAATTGACATGAAACGAGTGCATAGTAGCTAGATCTGTCAAAATGGGCCATAGAGCTATTTCTTAATCCATATTTGATGGAGTGAGTTATTACGTAAGTTAGTTATATTCAGTTATTGGGTTTAGACCCAACTCTATATGTCATAAATAGGTTTAATATTGATGCTAAATAAGTTCACAACTTTCTTAGGCCCACCCACTTCTATGACTCTTTCTTCATTCTCTTGTTCTCACTCGATTCTGCACTCGCTCACTCTATTTTTTCACCTTAATTTGGGTGTGAGTTTTCCTAAATTGGGTTATATATAAAAGTACTTTAGTAATATGGTTTGGGTCAGGAATGGGTCACTAAATTTTAATTGCATGGAAATAGGTCAAAACGGGTGAATGGGTCAATTTGGGTCGGAACACTTTCGACCCGACCAAAATCGGATCCTATCTACCCGTTTAATAGGTCTAATAATCATCAATTTCGTAAAATCGCATTGGATTCCTCTCTTCTAGGTGGCAATTTTCTCCTCTGCCTTTTGTACAATTTTCTTTTTCTGCTCGTGGCCGAAATCACCTCTACTTTTTTTTTGTGGGGGGGGGGGGGGGCGAGTCCCCCCTCTGATCAGCCGAGGAAAGGTCCTTTTTTTTTTTCGGAACCAAAGGTCCTCTATATGGCCGAATTTGTGCCTAACAAGAGCTGGAAAGAATTAGGGCCTGTTTGGAAACCGGCCAAACAGTGTTTGATTCTATTCTTTTATTCCCAGGAACAAAAAAAGAACAGAAATCTATTTGATAAATTTTTGTTCCCAGAAATAGTTTTGGAACATAATCAGGAATAAAAAAAAAGTTGATTCTTAATTTCGGAAACAAAAAAAAATCAAAACTCTAACAATAGAAAACCAGTGTGACATGCTCGTGGTGAGTTCACACAAGAACTGGATCGCTGCTGCTCCTTCACCGGCGCCTTCCTTCACGACGACCACTACTCCTTCACCGACCAAGCTTCTTGTTCGAGGTGAGTTCTTGCTGACTCGCAACTATGAGAGGGGCGCCATCACCACCGTTGAGTGAGGGCTATGCTCGCTCGCCGATCTGGGCGACGGCTTGCTCGCTACAACCCTCGTTGATTTTTTCGTCTTAGCTCCCAAAGAAATCCAGTGGCCCTACCTAGCTAGCCGTAACGCACAGCATGAGTACACAGATTGACGTGCTGATCCGTCGCGTTGATTTTGGCTCTCCATCTCTTTTGGATCGACCCTCCTCGGCTCCCCTTTATGTAATCACCACATTGCCTCACCTCCTCCGCTCGTCGTTCGTCTCAAGTACATTCTCAGATCTCCCTCCAAGAGTTGTGGTTGGTCATGTGCATTTCTGGTTATCCTTCGTATCTTCGCGTTCTGCTTGTTTCGATAGCTGAGAACCTTGTGGAGAGTGGAGAGTTTCGAGCCTGTTTGGACAATGGAGTTCTTGTGTTGGTTGATTGGTGCGATTGTCGGGCATCTCTTAGCTGGTCCGCTAGTTGGATTTTGGTTCTAGAGATTCTGATTTTTCATGGGGCTATAACCCTCTTGACTAGCTCGGCAACTTGTTGATATTGATTCCATTTTCCTTGGTGGATAATTGAATCTGAGCTCCGATTGGATTTCTGGTAATGGGTGAATGCAGAGATTGCGACCATTCTCAAACCTTGAATCTTGTATTGCTTTAGCTTAATTCTTACTTGGCACTTGGATCTCGAGAATGAGACGTGGAGAATGCATATCTTTTATGGCGATGATGTATCCCTATGCCCTTTTTCTTTTCCCCTTCTTTGTGCCTTTAGCTTTGCCGAAGCATATGCTTCTTTGTTTAGCTCGAATTGTAGCTTGAGATTGTATTTTCCAAATTTTCTCGTGCTGCTGCTTCTCTTGAGAATAGTTGTGTGTATTGCTTGTAACATCTACATGACTATGTTATTAATTCAATGCATAACTCATATGATGCTCAACCGGTCAAGGTTAAATGGCATCTCAAAAAGAGACTTTAAATGCAAAGTGGACCAAGCCTTTAACCAACCTATTTGTAAGTTTGTTGGTTGAAGAGGTCAAAAAGGGAAATCGCACCTCTTCTACTTATAATAAAGTAGGGTGGAATAATGTATGGGCTGTATTCTTTAATTAGATAGGATGCCAATATAACTTACTATAATTGAAGAACAAGGTGAACAAACTGAGAAAATAATATGGTAGTTTAAAGAAGCTTCTTTCATAATCCGAATTTGGCTGGGATAATGTGAATAAAACAGTAGTTATTGACGATCCAAGTATATATGAATCTCACATTAAGGTATCTTTGAACTTTTGATTATTTTGATATCATTGTAGATGTAAGTTTTAAAAGATTTGGGGAAAAAACCACCAAAAACCCCAAACTTTGCGATCTGTGACACATTTACCCCGAACTTTTTTTTGTGACACCAAAAACCCCGAACTTTGCTTTTTGTGACACATTTACCCCAATGTATTTAGTCCATGGGCAATTTCGTCTTTTTGCTTTTTTTTTTTTTTTTCCTTCCGGCGAGGGGGCCTTGCCGGCGTCGGGCGAGGGCGCCTCGCCGGATCCGGCGAGGGGGCCCTCGCCGCGCCGAGCGAGGCGGTCCTCGCCGGCGTTAGGCGAGGTTCGCCCTCGCCTAGGCGGCGAGGGCGGCCCTCGTCCGACTCGAGGCGAGGGCCGCCCTCGCTCGCCCGGGCGAGGGCGAACCTCGCCGGCGTCGGCGAGGTCCGCCTCGCTTGGGTGAGCGAGGCGACCCTCGCCCGATCGGCGAGGTCCGACCCTCGCCGGCGGCCGAGCGAGGGCGGCCCTCGCAGATCCGGCGAGGACAGCCCTCGCCGGCGTCGGCGAGGGTCGCTCTCGCTCGGGCGAGCGAGGGCCGCCTCGCTCGACGCCGACGAGGGTCGACCTCGTCGGATTGGGCGAGGCCGCCCTCGCTCGCCCGGGCGAGGTCGCCCTCGCTCGGGCGAGCGAGGGTGGCCCTCGCCCAACTCGAGCGAGGTCGACCCTCGCCCGACGCCGGCGAGGGTCGACCTCGCCTGAGTTGGGCGAGGGCCGCCCTTGCTCGCCTAGGCGAGGCGAACCTCGCCGACGCCGGCGAGGGCCGCCTCGCCGGATCTGGCGAGGGCCGCCCTCGCTCGACGCCGGCGAGGGCCCCCCTCGCCGGATCCGGCGAGGGCAGCCCTTGCCCAACGCCGGCGAGGCCCCCCCTCACCGGAAAGGAAAAAAAAAAAGAAAAAAAAAAGAAAAAGCAAAAAGGACGAAAATGCCCATGGACTAAATACATTGGGGTAAATGTGTCACAAAAAGCAAAGTTCGGGGTTTTTGGTGTCACAAAAAAAAGTTCGGGGTAAATGTGTCACAGATGGCAAAGTTTGGGGTTTTTGGTGGTTTTTTCCCAAAGATTTGATTATGTTGCTGACATATGTCATTATTGTGAAAATTGCAGGATAATATTAGGTGGGCAAAATTCAAGAAGGATGGATTTCCTCAGTATCCCAAGTTGTGTATTGTATTTGGTGGTACATATGCTACTGGGGATCATGTCATAGGAAATGCTGAAGATTTGACGGTGTCGGAGGAATGTGACAATGGTGGTCGATCTAAGTAGCACCGACACGCGATACGACACGACATGCGACACGTTATTTCTCAAAAAATAGAAAATTCCGATACGTTGGGACACATTGTATATTAAATGTATATTTTTATATATACATGATAAATTAATTTGATTCAAATCCATAAATAAATAAATAATAAGAAAAAAAGAGCCTAAAATGAATTTACACTAAAAACACTAATCCACCATTTGTTAATATCATTCATTGTTTCAATTTAACAAATTCAACTACATTCCATTCCAATAATCCATAAAACTTGGAGAAAATAAAACAAGCAATCCACAAACCACCATTAAATTTAACATTCAACAAAAAGTCCAAAAAAAAAAAAAAACAATCCACACTTCATCATCAAATATAACAAGAAGTCATTCATTTACATTATCCACTTCTTCTAACAATACATCGGACTCCATCTCCGGCTCATCAAGTGAAAGATTCATAACTTCTAGCACTCCAACATCTTCAAACATGTCAAATGCATCTCCATCAATATCTCACATCTTGATCTCTCTTTGTCAATATTGTGGGCTTTTTCTTAATAAAAGACGAAGATTACTATGAATGAAAACCAAATTTTCTACACGTTTTTGGTTCATCTTATTTCTCCTCACCGAGTGCATAAAGGAGTAAGGCTGCATTTGGGAAGACTTTTGGGGAAAGCCTTTGGAGAAAAGCAAAGGCCTTTAGTTTAGAGGGTTTTGGTGAAATGCAAAGACTGTTTGGTAAACTATAATTGAAAAGTGCCTTTGGAAGCAACTTTGGGGAAATGCTGTTTGGTAAACATATATTTGGAGAAAGTCCTTGATTTGACCAATTTAAGTTTTTCAATTTTAATTTGTTTAAAATTGGAAAAAAAATAATGACCGTAACTTTTATATTTTCGCGTTTAGAGTAATGTAAAAGAGATATATTAACAAATTAATGAATAAGTAAACCACATCTTTGCAAAAAGAGAGTACTTTAATTATAATAAACATTGTCACGTATGCATCGAGGAAAAAAATAAATTATCACTGAAATTTACAAGCATCTTAAGTATTTAGTAAACTCATGGCTATTTGATCACGTAAACGTGTCATGTCAGAAAATAAATTATCATTTGAAGCACTAGTCTCGTCATTCACATAATCAAGATCAATTGAATATCCATAATTGGGATCCAAATCTGCTCTTGCAAAATGTTTATCACTGACGGCGTTTTTTCGTATATAATTGTGCAAGGTCATTGCTGCTATAACAATTTTCACTTGCTTCTCAAATGGATAACTTGGCATATGCTTTAGAATCTTCCACTTCTTCTTCAATACACCAAAGGCCCGCTCAATTTCTGATCTTAGCGATGAATGATGACGGTTGAATATCTCCCGATAACCTGAAGGTGCAGGACCTTGTCGAAATTCTAGCAAATGATATCTACCTTCTTTGTATGGCCCCAAATAACCTGTTTGATTTGGATATCCGGCATCTACTAAATAATATTTACCTACACAAATATTATGTAAATTTAATCAACATATACCATATTGATACATACTAATGCTCTAATGCACAAAAACCATTAATAACGAACCTGGAGGAGGATGAGGAAATCGTACATCAAATCTTCTGAGGGCTTCATAGAAAATACGAGTATCATGAGCTTGTCCCCCCCAACCTGCGTAAACATAAGTAAATTCCATGTTAAAATTACACACTGCTAATACATTTTGAGTCGGTGTTCCTTTTCGACCAATAAAACGAATCTGATCGTGCAAAGGTACCACTGCTGGGATATGTGTGCCATCAATAGCTCCAATGCAATCCTGAAACGAAAACCCAAACATGATTGTATAATCGAAATTTATATTTAATTATTCCTTTATATTGTATAATCTAAACGTACCTTAAAATATGGAACTTCTTTGGAACTTCCCTAAATTGCCGATCAATTGGTTGGATCAAATCTTTTCCCATTTCACATACTTTATTTAATACTAAGCTAAAGTACCTACTCACGGTTTCCCCGGAACATTGAAAACGCTCTTGTGTTAACCTGTTACCTACACCGTGTCCTAAAATGTGAAGAAACATTCCAAGCATTTCTGTAACATCAATATTCCTAGTTCCTTGAAGACCATAGTGTGTCACTAAGTCATGCATTAAACTATTAAATACAATCTTATCCATTCTAAATATTTGATAGCACCTTATCGGATTAGCATCTTCGCTCATCAGCTCTTCTAACCATGCATTTCCTGTATGTGAAGATGTCATACAAGGTACTTTGTAACTGTATATTTCCTGATAAGCGACTGCACATTGACTAGCTCCCACAAGTTGCCAATATTCCTCTTTCCCATTTTCATGGTTTTTCCATTCAGGAGAATCATCCATAACTATCGAAGCAACAAAATATAGAGTTACAATAAGAAAAGTGATGAATAATATAGATCAGCCATCGATGGAACAATTATATCATCCATCATATATATGCAAACTTTACCCAATCAAAAAAACACCGACTGAAAACATGTCTCACATTAGAACATAAATAGAAATAGAGTTCACAAGTAGTGCAAACACAGTGCAAAACACCAATTGAAAATAAGCATCACGTTACAATAATGTAGAAAGAGTTCAAACAAGTAGCTACATCCTAGCGATGACTATTGTGCTCTTCCAACTTAAACTTGAGCCACTCGACCTTTGCTTCATGTCCATCCAAGTTCATGAAAATTTTCCTGTTGTCTTTCTTTTCAGCAAAATGTGAGAGTGCAAAAAAGTATAACTTTCGGTCTTGCTTAATCTCAGGGATGACTTTCAATGTTTGCATAATTTCTTTATAAGGATCAAACTCCCTTGCAATAGATGTCGCATTGCTCCTACTTTCAATAGCTGAACAAAGTCTATCAATTTGCGATGCTAACTTGGCCGGTCCAGTCACTTTTTTTTCTTTCTTCCCTCGAGCTTGCCTTATTGAACTCTCCGCCACTCTTTTATGGCTATTACTTTGACTTGGTTCAACTACCTTTTCACCTACATTGCACTCTAAAGTATCATCAGTAGATTCTGCACAATCACTAATATCGGCTTGTGTGGCCTCAATATCCTCATCATTGCATAAACCTTGGGCAGGATTCCATGTGATACTTCCAGTAGCAACTGTACCCTCGAACATTCTATCCAACAAAGCTTTAAGCTCCAGATGTATTCCTTTCGTTCGAAAAACTTTAAGTTTAAGATTGGCCTGTTATAATAAAACATTTTCATGAGTTGTATCATAAAATATGAACTTACCAAAAAGTAACAAAAGAAGAGACAAACACCTTAATTTTCCTCTCCCACCATTCATCACTCGCATCAATAGTTTTCTTCCTTGGATCCCATCCTAGTCCCGTTTCCTTTTGAATCAATTGCTTCCATTTTTTCCATTCTTCCTTCAGATTATCCCACTTACTCTTCATTTGATTTTTATCAAACTTTTTGCCCCTTAGCTCCTCAAACTTGTTAATTATGGCTGTCCATCCATCCATCCCTTTTATTGCTTTCCGGCCGATTGCCTTTTTCAATTTGTTCAATGCACAATTGACAAAAAGTTTCTACATCTTCCGGGCTCCAATATGCCTTTTCCTTTGATGAACTTGCCATCTTCCAATAAAATAACCACAAACAGATTTGAAAAATGCAAATAAACGAGATTAAAGTATGACCCAATTCCGTAAACATGAATGAACACATGCGTATGCAAATTTTGATAGAACATTAAAGATAGAACATAAAGCTACAGCACAATCCGATATCCAACAAAAGTATAACAATTCTTTTTTCTTGTTGAACCCCCTTTTACCAAAAACTTAAGCTATCGCAAACAAGCCCACAAGTATATCAAGCCTAAATCTCAACAGCCCCTTGCACGTGTAAGTTGAACCATACACATAAAACATAGAATCTAGATGTAATCACACCAAACAATGACAAAATTGATTGAGCATAACTCGCCCAACAAAACCACCGATTTGAAACAAACCCCGCGGAAACAATAAAGTAGCCGTTTAACACAATAGTGCCGAGGAGGCAAAGGTGGTACTAGGACACAAAGGGTGATTGTGAAATTACACGAGGCTCTAGGGCATTGCTTTCATATTTTTCTAGCATAGAAGCTAAATGCAGTAGTGCTCAACATGCTTGTAAGGGCGCCCTGCGTATAGAATGACGTACGTAGACCTCAGCTAACTAAATGCTATAAAATTCAATCCCAGCCGCCCATAGAGTCAAACTGCCATGGACATCAAGGGAGGGATCCCATACTAAAAACTCAAACGGGTAGCAATTAGACTAAAGGATCCCCATCTCGCTCAACCTCTGGCAAAACCCAAAAAACGGCCAAGAATTTCTCGGCGCCGAGCACCACGAAAAAACTTACCGAATGCTCAGCATAACACTGCTGCCATTGCAACGGCTAAAAACCTCAACTCCAAAAACCAAGACTACAAGCAAAAGCAGAGGAGCAACGCAACAAATCCGAAAACCACAAGCACCAAATCAAAAGCTGCTGAGGCACACCGAACATAATCGAGCGAGATGGAGTGCGTACATGCGAGTGAGAGAGATTACCGTCACGGAGCAGCGTGCAGATGCCCAAAGAGGGCCGGTCGGTGGGTGCAGGCGCGGGAGCCAGTGCGACGGAGAGAGGGACGGAGCATCGCAGGAGAACAAGAAACGAAGGCCACAAGGGAGAGAGAGGAGATACGGGATTTGAGGATTAGGGTTTGCTCTTCTTCTTCTTCTTTTCCTTGGTTTTGGGAGGGAAGTTCTACGCAGCAGCGTTTCTCTGGAAGGAGGTGAAGGGCGTGGGGTTGCGGCTGCGGCGTAAGGGATGGCTTCTAGGGTTAGAAGCAAAGAAGGGTTAAAGTGCAAATTAGATAAATTTATGAGGGCAATTTCGACAATAAAAAAAATTCTTTATTCCTCCCTTCAGCTTGCCGAGAATGCTGAAATGCCCAATGCTCCTCTCCTGCTGCCTTGGGCTTTTGGCCTTTTGAAGGCCAACTTTCCTTCAATGGGGTTTCTAAAAAATTTCCCCAAACACCAATTTTTAGCCCAAAGGGCTTTAGATGCCTAAAGTCACTTGCCAAAGCTACTCCCAAACGCAACCTAAGTACTCCAATTCCTCTCGGCACATGATGAAGAAGAAGGTTGTGCAAGAAGCTTTAAGGCTATATTTTGAAGTATAGGTGCACTTCCATCGTGAATAACCCACCAAGCCCTAGGATCCATAGAATACCGACTTTGAATGGAATCAAATTCTCTAAACTCCCCATTTTTGCACGTAAAATTTACATACTCCAAATTCACCTTGGTGCGCTCATCCAAGTTAGGAAAGTATTTGCTAAAGCATTTTTTTCTCTCTTGGATGATCTCATTATCCTTGTATGGAGAAACTCGAGAAGGATCTTCATTGAGCCATTGATCACTATAGTACCTTATTTAATAAAATAAAATAAAAATAGAAAATCATAATAAGTAAGAGGAGTATTATATTATCATGTCAAAGAAAGAACAACTAATAAAGTAATAATCTCATACAATTGTAGAACTTACTTAGGATGCAAGGCATGTGCCAAGCAATAAAGTGGAGTGTTGTTTCTAGTCAATGATTCACAAGAATTGTATAAACCGCCTCATAAAATGTAGACTCCTCGTCTCAACTTTTCACTTCATGCTCATATATAGCTTTCTTCACTTTTTCAATTATTGAATCCCATATGTTATAAACTAAGTGAAGACAAGGCTTGTCGGTGTCACAAATTCTAAGCGTGTCATAAATAGAAACTGTAAAGAAAAGTATATAATCAATTGAATCCCACCAAAAATCATTCAACACCTTCTCCTTAATAAACTTAGCCCTCTCTTGATTATCATTTCGATAGATATTCTATTTGTCACAGATAACCATGATTTGAAGATTACTTTTTATCAACTTAAACCTAGGAGTGAGCGGTTCCAGATTCTTTACAGGTTTCACCTAGAACCTAGAACCTACCTTCGGGCATAGGTTCTTCATTTTTTGGAACCTGGAACCTATCCGTCGGAACTTGGAACTTGGAACCTACCCTATCACAAGTTCCAGGGTAGGCTCTAGGATCTAACATGTTCTTTTTTTATTTATTTCATTTTTAGTTAAACAAAACGAAAATGAATGCAACAATACCGAACAAGCTTGTCATTCACCAAAGAGAATACAAAAGACTAGTTTTCCTGACATTACGGTTCAAATAAATACAATTAAAATGAGAATTCATTGCGTGAATCGATACTAGAGGTGAGTGGTTCCATGTTCCGTACAGATTCCACCTGGAACCTACCCATGAGAATAGGTTCTTCATTTTTTGGAATTTGAAACCTACCCAATCACAAATTCTAGGTTAGTTTTAGGGTCTACCCAGGTTCCACCACTTGCTCCTTTGATCCACTGATAACAACTTATATTTAAACACACGAAAAATATGAAATATTAACAAGTCATAAAATAAAAGCTTAGAATAGTGGTTCCAGATTATACACTCATTATCTAACGCCATGAAACATCACAGGATCACATGAAAACATAAACTAAGAAAAAATACAAAAACTTGTTTAGGTTTCAGGTTCCAGGTCCCGTCGAAACAGGTTTCTCGATTTTTAGAACCTGAAACCTACCTTGCATACCTTGGAACCTGAAACCTATAGGTT